ACACACATACAGGTATAACACTCATACACATAAAATAAAAATAATAAATAAAATATTTTTTAAAATAAGGTGGAGAGCATTGAGGAAGACACTTGATGTTGACCTGTGGTCTAAACACACACACACACACACACACACACACACACACACACACACACACTCATGCACTCACACATGTACCTATACACACGTGCTGTATACGTGCATAAACATTCTTTTAAAGGGTTTAAGGGCTGAGAAGATGGCTCAGTTGGTAAATTCCTGACATTCAAGCATGAGAACCTGAGGGAAAAAGCCAGGTGTAGTGGAGCCTATGTCACCCTAGCCCTGGGAGGGCAGAGACAGGCAAGATTCCCCAGAGTTGGCTGGGCAGTTAATCTAGATGGTCAGTGAGCTCTGGACTCGGGGAGAAACTTTCTCTCGAAAACAAGGTGGAAAGCAATAGAAGACAATGGATGTCAACCTCTGACCTCCACAAGCAAGTGCACATATGGGCACACACATTCACATGCACATGTGCATACAAACATGCACATACATAAAATTGTATACACATTCATGCACACACACAAATTTATAAAAAGGTGTACATTGCTGTCTTTGATTCTTTTTGTCCTAACTAAAATGAAACCCATAGTATAAACTAGTATTTCCTGAATTAGGCTAAATGATAGAAGGAGTGATTTTATACTGAATTCATAAAGAAAAATATGGAATATGAGGTGAAATTTTATCCTCACCTGGTTCAAATAACACTGTGTATATAATCCAACTACAGCACAGGGGCAGAGAGGCACTGAGGAGCTCTGATGTCTGAGGGTCATTGCTTGTATATTTTATAAACTAACACTTAAATCATTTAGCATACAAGCACTGCTAATAGAAAAGTCTTAGTTTATGGTAAAGAGTGGCATTAATCATTTGTAAGAATTCTTTCAAGAGTAACAGCATCAAAGACACTCATTGCCTTTATAAAATACTCCTAAAATACAACAGTATTCTTATTTCATTTTTCCTTTATATAAGTAAGCCACTAGACAATTCAAATTTTTCCCTCAGACAATATACAGTGATATCTAAGGTTCAAGCAGAATTTCTCTCAGTTATTTAACTACAGTGCTATAAAGCTAAATGTAAAGTTACATGATGGTTTACACCTCTTGAAAAACATAATTTTTTTTAATTCAGGAGCTGGCGATATGGCTACAGCACTTGCTGCTACTGCAGAGGACCCAAATTCTGTTCCCAGCATCCACATGATGGCTCACAACCATACATAACTACAGTTCCAGGGAATCCAACACCATTTTCTGGCCTCTGTGGGCAACAGACACATGTGGTATATATACATACATACAGGTAAAACACTTATACATATAAATAATAAATAAATCTTTAAAAATTTTTTCTTAATTCAAAATGCCTATTCACCTATCACTCAAGGACTGGTAAGTAGGCACATGACACAGGAGAGCAGAACGCTAATGGTGAAGTCTGTTCTCAAACCATTAAGAGACAGTTGTAATTAGCCCCATTATCAAGTAGATGATGCAACAAAACAACTTTCTAATACTTGAAAAAGTTTAGATAGTAGTCTATCATTTCAGAATTTTCTCCTCCACCTCATCCCATCATTCACACATGCACACAGATATACACATATTTTACTTCTATGATTAGGTTTCAAAACTACTTTCTTATGTCTAACTAGGTAATTTTCTATCTAACATATTAAAATTAGATGGTTTCCAACGTTTTCAATGGGCCTAAAATTTAAGAGTTAGATAATTTCTTTTAACCATGTAGCTCAAAATTCAATTTGTTTTGGGGTCTTTTTACCCTAATTGCCTAGCCAATTCCTACCTCCTATTCTTATTGGTTTCTTGGCTAAAAGTCCTAATGTCCTTGGGCCTCTTAGCAACGTACTCTGTTCCAAAGGCCAGAAATGTCAAAAGTATTTGGGATCTTTTATCTAATCCCTAAAAGATTTTAGGGTTACCTCTTCAGACAGGGGAATGTTATAGAAGCAAAAAGCCCCATTTAAAAAAAACAAAAAGAAACAATGAGTACATGAAGTTGTCAGAAAAAAAGTTATGGGGAGATATGGGAGGAGTTGGAGGGGAGGGAGTAGGCATGGATTTGATCAAAACACCTTATATGCATGTATGAAATTCTCAATTTGTTTTCTAGTAGAGCATGAGAAAGAAAACGAGAGCCTACCATATACTGCTATATATTTCTTACTTTTTTTAATTACGAAAATAATATATAAAACACTCCATATGTCTAGAGATAGAAGATTTAGTAAATAAACTATGACACATCCATATGATAAGATACTATGGAGTCATTAAAAGCAATGAATATAAAAACATGCTCACAATATATGACAGGAATAAGATTACGAGAATGCTTGTATAGTTCAATTTCAATTTTAAAAATGTTCAATATTTTTAACAGGTACAAAAGAAAAGAGAAAGATGGGGCTGGTGAGATGGTTCAGCACTTGCCATCAAGTGTGATAATCTGAATTCAATCCTCAGGACCCACATGGTAGGAGAGAATTGACTTCCAGATGTATGCTCACATACACATACCATCAATCAATAAATGTAAGTAAAAAAGAGAGAAAGATGAATTTACTGAGATACTTTGTCAGCCAGAATTTTCTAAAACTATTTTTGAGAGACACTTGATATGTGCAAAATAAGGTGGTAGGGCTAGACATTGGGTTCATTTTTCTTTCTTAAAGAAAAAAAAATCGGTGCTGGAGAGATGGCTCAGTGGTTAAGAGCACTGGCTGTTCTTGCAGAAGACCTGGGTTTGAATTCCAGCACCCTTATGACAGCCAACAACCCTACATAGCTCCAGTCCAGAGGATCGGATGCCCTCTTCTGTCCTCAGCAGGCACTGCACAACACAGGTGCACTTACATGCAGGCAATACACTCATGCACATAAAATAAAAATAAAGGAAAAAAATCATTCCTATTGCAACAAACCCAACATGTCCTACAGATAATGATAAACTCTAGCTTTAAAACCAAATAAAATCCCTAGACAGAACTAAAGTACAAAGAAAAGTAGTGTAGGTTCTTGACAGGATCTGACACTTAGAAAAAGGTAATACACAAAGTGAGTTATCCATTTCAGATGACTCTTAGCTTAGCCAAAGCTGACACTATACAGTATGCATAAAACTCCAATAGCAAAACTGGCAGATACCAGAGGGGAACATTCCAGGCAACCAGAGATGCTGGAAAGAAAGGTGGGAATCCTGGAAAGGACAGCATCACAAATTCCGTGAGGGAAGTCCACTCAAATATCTGGCTGATCCCAGAACCAAAATTCAAGGGCTGCCATCCAAGGCAGCATCTGTAATCGAAGTTCAACTAAGTTGCAAGTCTAAAGGGAGAGAGGAATGAAGGCAGAGAGGAAAAGAGGGAAGTAGGATCTCCACGATGCAACCAAATCTAGTCTCCACAATAATACCCAATATCTAGAATATAATCCAAAAATTAGTCATATACTAGGAAACTGAAAATTGTGACTGATTCTCGAGGAAAAAAAAGGTGACTGAAGGAGCCTAAACCTAAACGGATGACCTAGATATTGACATTCACACAGATATACCACTATCAATAGCTTAAAGACATAAAAAATAAGTTTATAACAACATAGTAGGAAGTTGCAGGGAGAAAATTAAAAGTACAAAAATGAACCAAATACAAATTCTAATATGCACTGTCTAAAAAAATATTCAGTAGATAAACTTACCAGTATGGAGATAACAGAGAGGCCATGAACTTGAAAATAGGCCAGTTAACATCAAACTAATAAAAAATTACTGAGGACAGTCTCAGAGATTCATAAAACAATATCATAAGGTCAAAATATGCGTAATCAGAATTCCAGAGGAGGAAGAAAGAGAGGACAAAACATAAAAAAATGTGGACAAGTACTATATCTCTTGATATGGGATTAGAATATATTGTTATACATGTTTGTGAATGACCAACAAATACATACTCAAAACAACAAATACTAAATTCAACAATATGCTTGGAAAGCACAATGCACATAAGATTTATGTTAAAAGAAAACTGCAAGCAGAGCACTAAATTTTGGTAAATGATAAGTATTTAGAGGAAGTGTATTGATGGCTACAATTCATTTACCTCCCATCCCTTCCCAAAAAAGAGGATTAACACTGGACAGGATAGTTATATAGATATGTGATAAAAACAAGCCTAGTAAAATGCTAATGGAAGAATTTAAATGGTAGACATACAGGTAATTACTGATAAGTTCTATTAACTTTTTTGTATGTTTGAAATTTTTCTAATAAAATTTTGAAGGGAAAAAAAGCTACTGTGAACTGACAGTGTTTAAATGAACAAATTATTTTTCAAAAACAAAAGCTACATGAGGTTTCATTTTATCTTTATTAGTCTACTGTCCTCTATAACGAGCAAAATCTTAGCCAATGGCTCTATCTTATTCATATAGGTATTTAGTCTGGGGTCTAGGCTGATGAAGGAAGGGGGGAGGGAAAGGGAGAAAGAAGGGAGGGAGGGAGGGAGGGAGGAAGGGATGGAGGGAGGGAGGGAGAGGGAAAGAGAAAGAACCATTTACTGTTTCCTATTTCTTACTGCATCAAGTTTTAGAAAATGGTAGATAAACTAGTTCTGTTTCTTTGTTTACAGATCAAATTCTTTTACTTTTTTCTTTCTAGGTATGTAAAGGATAATACATTTTTTAAGGTTAAACTGTAGGGGCTAAAGAGACGGCTCAGAGATTAAGAGCACTTGCTGCTTTTCCAGAGGACCCAAGTTTTGTTCCCAGCACCCACATTGGGCAGCTCACAACCACTTGTAACCTAGCTCCAAGGCATCTGACATCTCTTCTAGCCTCCGTGGGCACCCACACTCACATGGTACACTCAGACACACACACATACACATAAATAAAAAAAATCTTTCTAAAAAGCCAAACCATATATAAATGTGCTCTATTGTGATCAGATTTCACAATGGGACATTTAAAAAATATTGTACATTAAGCTCCTCAATACAAAGAAAAAACTTACAAAAATCACAACACAATTTTGTATACATTTTGTATGAAAGATATGAAAGATCAAAATAACAGCAATAAATAGTAATTAAATGTTCCATGTTGATATTTGCTTTGGTTTGGTTTGATTTTGAGACAGGGTCTCACCATGTAACCCTGGCTGCCCTGGAACTCCCAGAGATCCCCCATCTCTGCCTCCTGAGTGCTAGGATTAGCTCCATGTTGATTTCTAAATTTTGTCATTTCACTGTTTACCTTCCAGTTCATCCAGATGTGAAGGAGTTCCTTGTGTCCTGGGCTGAATATAAGACAACTTAAACCTGGGCACCACAAATGGCACTTCTTTGCCATCACACGGTAATTTGGAAAGCAAATAATCCTCAGTACAGCCAACTTGAGGCTTTACATACACAGAAGTCAATGGAGGTATGCACACAGTAGTTTGGCTATTTGAGACTGGTGCTTTAAAGTCTGTTTCCACAGAAACTGCATTAAAAAAAAGAGAGAAAGCAAAAAAAAAGTCACAGTATGCATATGTATTTTTATGTGACAATCTAACTCTAGAATGCTTAGTTTTATTTTGGTTTTTGTTTTATTTGGTTTGGTTTTTGTTTTTTTGATACAGGGTCTCCTTGTTAGCCCCAGCTGGCCTGGAACTCACTATGTAGACCAGGCTGGCCTCAGACTCACAGATATCCCCCTGTCTCTGAGTGCTGGGACTAAAGGCATGTGCCACCATGCCCAGCTTTTTGTTTATTTGTTTTTGAATGCTTGGTACTTTTAAAATAATTTTAGAGAACACCCTAATACATAAAAAGCTACTCTTGGGTTCAAACAAGTACTTCTGGACTCTATATTAATTTTGGCCAACCAATGTTTAAGCAATTAGTACATTTTGGCAAAGCACGTTACATAATTATAATGATAAAAGCAGTTTTTAGAGTCATTTCCACAGGAGTTCACTGATGGAAAACAACATTATTTCAAAGTAAAATTAATAATGCTTTAAGTAAAACTCTGGCTGCTTAAAAATACTATCAATGAAGCAATTCTTATCAATATTACTGGTGAACCTGAGTCTTAGATATGCAAATCAATTCTGAGAAGAAGCTAAAAGTCTCCAAGTCTACAAAAATGTCCACCAAATCACAAAATAAATGTACACTGATTCTAGATATTTATCATAGTATCAACTCTCCCTGTCCCAGTTTCTATAGACCATTTTATCTAATTCTCTAAAATATATATGCATAGCTGCATAACCTAAGAGAGGGTGCAAAGGGACAATTAACCTTCACGTATCTAGTATTAACTGTAGAATGAATAAAAGTACAGCGACCATACTGTAAGAATTTATGGAATGTTTTAATGTAAAAGAAATCCCTCTGCTATGGACTAGAAATAACTTAAATATATCCCACAAGACATCATGTGCTAAAGTTTAATCTTCATTGTAAGGGAATTAATCCTCAATCCCTATTGTAAGGCTATTAATACCCACTGTAGAAATGTATACTGAATTATGTATTTAGAAGTGAAGCCTTTAGGAGGCGAAGCTCCCATAACTGAATGCCAATAGCTTTCTAAGAGGGAGAAAGACCAGATTATGTATGTTCACTCCCTGCTTTTTCATCAAATGATACCCTGCACTGCCTCAGGAAGCTGTCAGCAAGAAGGCCATCATCACCTTTGAACTCAGAACTGTGGGGGAAAATAAACCTCTTAACCAGTTTGTAATATTCAGTGGTATCATGTTATTGGCATCATAAGATGGACTAACAAGCCTTCATTCTGTTATATACTAGGAAATATAAGAAAGAGCCATAGAAAAATAAAGGTCTAGTTACAACCTTGAAAACATAAGAAACCATGCAACAGAAAGGGAAGTATCTAGTCTAGGGGTGCCTTATGAATGTAGGTCTTGACAAAGCTATAAGCTTCTTCCTCATTGATCATTAATTCACAAAAGACATTTTAAATGTACTGTATATAAATTCCCAAACACACTTGTCTCCTTACCTTTGTCCATATTATTCAGTTCACCTGCCCACGTCCAACTCTCACATTCTTGTGCTTCCTCTTTCCCACTCACTTGCTAAAATCCTACTAGGGCTTCCACAGCAAATGCTATCTTCTTCATAGTGATCTCCAGGGTTGTTTCTTGGCTTGTATAAACCAGTCTCTCCTCTATATTCCAGGGTCCTTGAGAGTTGTAGAACAGCCTAGCATGTGTTCCTGATTTGCCTTCCCTCCCAAAGTTAGAAAACATTCTTAACTTATCCTTGTGTTACAAATGTCACAATAAGTCACTAATATACTGAAATCAAAACAATACTCACACTTGTGCTTTTCTGTTTCACCATAGAAACATCCTCTACAACAACTCTTTATAAATTCTGCTGCCATTACATTCAATTTCTAATATCCAGAAAACTTCCAATTTTAGTATCAACCTGTTGGTAGATGAGAAAGCATAAAACTCTATGACTAAACAAATCATATTATCTGTTTAATATGTAATAATGGCTCTGAAACAAAAAATATTTAAAAGGAAGATAGACTTTTTGGTTTCCATATATGATTTTATATAACCTAGGATCCTTAAAAGCCATCAGAACAGCAATCTAGAAAATATTAAATGAACAATTTTAATATTATAATTTGAAAAAGATGACCTTTTCACCTTTCTCTTAACATCTGATATATCTAAACTTATACCCAAGCAAAATTTGAAAAAAATATATCTATCATAAAGAATATGAGAAAAATTCACTTCCTATCAATTATTTTCATACTCAAAAATCCTTGTAATTGGGGCCTATAAACAAATTGCTATAAACTTTATGTTATCTTAATCCTTAGAATTAAACTAACAGAAAAACTGTATCTTAAATACTCTATCACTTATATTCTGAGAAAGAGAGACTACAAAGCAATACAGTGCAAATGGGACGTTTTCTATAAGATTCATGTCCATTTTCCCACCCTGATCTCAACGTTTTTATTCCAAAGGAACTCTCTTCATTTATACCTACTTAAACTCCATACATTTTGGTAGGCGATTTTAAACACACGCAAGAGAATCCAGGACAACAAAACCCAAATCACTCAGACTGAACAATTATCAACTCATGGCAAATCTTATTTCGTTTTTATCTTTCACCTACCCTATATTTTTAGGTTATTTGGGGGTTTGTTTGTTTGGGTTTGTGTGTGTGGGAGGGAGGGAGGGAGGGAGGGAGGGAGAGAGAGGGAGAGAGAGGGAGAGGGAGAGAGAGGGAGAGGGAGAGAGAGGGAGAGGGAGAGAGAGGGAGAGCGAGAGAGAGAGAGAGAGAGAGAGAGAGAGAGAGAGAGACTGACTCACTTCCTAGCCCTGGCTGGTCTGGAATTTGCTATGTAGACCACATTGGCCTCAGACTCACAGAGATCTATATACCTGTTTCTACCTCCCAAGAGCTGGAATTACAAGTGTGTGTCACCATGCCTGGCCCTTTGGGCTACTGTGAAATAAATTTCAGTCATATAATTTAATCCAAAATACTTAAATAGTAATCACTAAAAGATGTGGCAGAAGGCCTCAGGAGTTAATGTTGAGAGGCTCTCACTGGCTGAAGATTTATCAGTTCAAGTATTAAAATGAACAGGAAATAAAATGAATTATAATGCATCAAACATTCCTAAAGGACACTTTTTAAAAAACACAACCATAAAAGTAATATCATACAAAGTTTAATATCAGCAACATGAAAAAAATTTAAAATACTTAGTAACTAAGTTTCCCCTATGGTTTCAACTTTTTAGTTTTGAACTCAAGATAAAATTTGGATTGTTACATCTTTCGCTATTAGAAACAGCACCACTAGCTCTGCACATATATTACTCAGATAGTTCTCTATATAAATTTGTAAAACTAGGACTACTGGGCCAAGAGGTACATATGTGTAATTTTGCTTGTAGCGCTAAATTTGTCTCTGAATTCTTTATCATTTCATATCCCCAATAAAACTATATAAAGTCACTGTTTGCCATCAACAAAAAGTGTTGCCGAAATGCTGTATCTTTGTCAATGTGACAGGTAAGAAATGATTGCCCTTTGTTGCTTGAATTTGAATTAATTTTATTACAGATGTTGGGCATCTTTTCTGTTTGTTTTCTTCTTGAGACACGGTCTTCCCACAGCTACAACTGGCCTGGAACTTGTTATATAGATCAGGCTGGCCTTGATCTCACAGAGCTCCAGCTGACTCTGCCTGGAGTTAAATTATTAATTAAAAGTCATGTGCCGTGTCACCCTGCTTGATGTTGGGCATCTTTTTATACAGGGCTAAATTATAGCTGTTTCTATGAATTCACTGTTCATTATCTCCCACTTCCCCTTTTATAAAGGAATTGGGTCTTTTTCTTTACTAATTTTAGAAGCTTTTTATGTATTTTAGAGATTAGTGTCCATGATGTAAGAGAGAAAAGTTCTTTCAGTTTGTCATTTTCTTTTTGCTTTGATTACTGTGTTTTCTACTATGCAAAGGGGTGTGTGTGTAAGCGTGGAATGTAGAGCTCAGTGGCAGAGCACTTGCCAGTGTCTACAAAGCCCTAGATTTGATCCCCAGTACCACACACACACAAAAGTGTGCATATATATCTATGCATACTAACATATGACATACATATATACAGAGTATCCTTTGTCTAAAATGCTTGAGACCAAAAGTTTAAAATTCTGAATTTAAAAAAAAGTGTAATAGTTTCACATACTTATGAGCTACCCAGGGAAGAAACCAAGTCTAAACGTGAAATTCTTTTTTTTTTTTTTTTTTTGGCATATATACCTTACATATTTAAAAGCAATTTTGTGACTGAAACAAAGTTTTATGATGTGAAAATTTCTATTTGCAGCATCATTTAAAAAACAAATAAGCAAAACAAAACACCACAGTGTTCCTCAAAAGCTTCACATAAAGTTATCACAGAACCCAGGAATTTTGTTCCTGGTTTAATATACCTATGAGAATAGAAACTAGTTTTTTTTCTTTTCCCCCTCATTTTTTATTAGTTCTTTGAGAATTTCATGCAATGTATCTTGATCATATTTACCTCCAACTTCTCCCGGATCCACACCCCTTCCCAACCCACCCTACTTTGTATCCTTTTTTTTTTTTAACCCATCTAAACCAATTTGTGCTGCCCATATATATATTCTTGGGTATCCTTCTTTGGGCAGTAGATGACAATTTACATCGAGATCCATAACTGATCAAGGTGCAGAGAACAAGAGACAGCAGAATGCTCAGCCCTAAATGGGACACCTATATCATAATCTCTTCCTCCCAGGACTCAGAGATCATTGCAGAAAAGGGGGTACAAAGATTTTAAGACCCAGAGTCTGTGGATGAATACAAGGAAACATTGTTTCTGGACACAGCAAGGCAGGTGCACATATGAACTCATAGCAGTTGTGACAGCCTGCCCAAGACCTGTGCAAGTTCAAGCCAGAAACTGTATATTTATGTAAAATCTTGAATAAAATTGTTCATAGCAGCCTTATTCAGAAAGGTAAAAAAACCCAGAAATAGTCCAAACATCCATCTGATTAATGAAAAAGTAAAATGAGACATGTATTTGTCTATACAGAGGGTACTATTCAACCATAAAAAAGATAGAAGTACTGACTCATGCTACAACATGGATACATTTTGAAAACATTATGCTAAGTGAAAGAAGCAAGACACAAAGACCACATGATACGGTTCTATTCATAGGCAAATCCATAGATGTGAAGTAAACTGTGGTTGCCAAAAGCTGGACGAGAAGGAAGTGGGGAGTTACTATAATATAAACTGGCACAAGATTTCTTTTGAGGAAACCACGATTGTTCTCTGCATGGTATACTTCAACAAGGTGAATTTCATGCAAATTAGATCTTTTTAACAAAAGGTTAAAAAAGTTCACATCTTTAATTTTTTTTTAGACCACCAAGGGTAAATTTCCCCCATGATGTATTTGATGTCATGACTTCCCAAGGACAGACTTTTCCCTCCCTCTATTCTAGCAGGCATCAAGGCAACTTTCTTTGCAGTTTTCTTTAAGAAGGTAGAATGATTTCTTCATTCCTTTCCTGACAAGTCAGCCCTCTGAGGTCCCAGACTTAGGGGCAGAAACTCTCTCCCTAGCTTGAAGGAGCCCTGGCTGACTTCCAACTATCCTCATAGCCCTGCAAATACCCCAAGTTCTAGTTGTGTCCATTAAGTTCGCCTAGTTAAGCAAGCAGGACTTAAGAACTCCTCACTCTCTCACATTTCTGACTCTCTTAGCTCTTCGGCATTTTACCATTAGGTACTAGCTACATAAACCAGGCTGGCCTTGAACTCACAGACATACGCCTGCCTCTGCCTCTGGAGTGCTATTAGTTTTAGTTTTTTAAATATAGCATTCTTAGTCATTTTCAATGTAAAGGTTATTCCAAACACTGCAACTTATAAACTCTCACATTTACTTTTCAAATTAAAATTAACTCTCATGAGTTAGGACAGGTTTACAATAGAGTACCTTTAGCTCTGGATTTTTAGAACAAGGTCTTGCTATTATGTAGTTCAGGCTGGGCTTGGAGTAGCTATATAACCTAGTTGGCCTCCTGCTGTGGGCTCCAGAAAGTGACATCATTTCTCAAAATTCACTCATTTATTTATTATATGTGTGCACTCGAGGGTACACATGTACTACCCTGTATTTGTGGAGGTAAGAGAACAGCTCTTAGAGAGTTGGTTCTCTCCTTCCACCTTGTTTTGAGGCAGGGTCTGTCCTGTTTCTGTTACTATATTAGATACCCCAGGCTAGCTGACCAACAAGCATCTGGCAGATTTTCCAAGTTTGCCCTCCCGTTTCATCTTAGGAGTTCTGGGATTACAAACGCACCAGTTTTTTTACACAGGTTCCCTGGATACCAAGGGTCAAAACTCAGGTCTTCAGACTTTTGTAACACTTTTACCTCGTATGTCATCTCCCTGGCCCTGACATCATTTTTAATAGGCTATTTTTATAGTAGTTTTAGGCTTACAGAAAAATTGAGATGGCACAAAGATGTTCTATACATACTCTGAAGGGTAATGTTTTTAAGCTTTCAGCAGAAAACAGACTATGCTTTTATGAGCTAAAGAAAGGGAAAGATTAAACAAGAGATGAAAAGTACAAACATAAAGAAATTGACACAGTCAACTATTTCAAACTATAGAGTGTGTTCAATAAAAGACACTACAGAGGGGACTGGAGAGATGGTTCAGTGCTTAAAAACACTGACTGCTCTTGCAGAGGACCCAGGTTCAATTCCTAGCACTCACATGGCAGTTAACAACTGTCTGTGATGCCAGTTCCAGGGGATTCAACACCTTCTGACCTCCACGGGCATTGCACAGCACAGGTGCACTTATACACATGCAGGCAATACACTCATACACATTAAAATTTAAATAAAGTATTTTAAAAATTAAAAATAAAAGACACTACAGAGAAAGTACAAAGACAAGCTAGATATGGAGAAAAGACATTTATTTGCCACATTCGTAACTGATATGGGATCCATTTCAAGAAGATATAAAGAATATCTAGAAATGACAGCAAAGAAAAAGATATAAACAGATTCCTCATAGAAGAACCATAAAAGGTTCAGCATCATCAACAGTTAAATAAATGTAAATTAAACCCTTAATGGGATACTATTTTTCACCCGCTAGATTTTCAAAAAGAAAAAAATTCAGGTAATTACGAATGTAATGATAAGAACAGAGCTAACACTTATTCGTGAAGGTACATCTGATACAAGCACTGTACAAAATAATTCAGTTATTATCTAGAAAAACTAGACCCACAATTCTATTCTTAGATTTAAGAAAATCTGTGCACACAGATATAAAGAAACACGGATTGTAATGATATTACAAAACAGCTTTTTGGGGGGTAGGGGTTTGAGATAGGGTTTCCCTGTAGCCCCAGCTGGCCTGGAACTCACTATGTAGACTAGGCTGGCCTCAATCTCACAGAGATCCATCTGCCTCTGCCTTCCAAGTGATGAGATTAACTGTGTTCGCCACCATGCCCAGCCCCCTCTCTTTATTTTTATTTGCTTTCTTATAGTTTTATCAGTGTACAATTGGCCCATAATAAATTGCACATATTTAAAACAGACAATAAGTCATATACGTGCATTTCTGTGAAAGTATCATCACAACCCAATAGATCAATATATCCATTATCCTCCAAAGGTACTTCATGGTGCTTTTTAACCTAACCTCTTTATTTTCTCTCATTGTATCCTCAAGAAAAAAAAAAAAACTAATGTATTTTCTGTCACATTGGTTTATATTTTCTAGAATTTTGTTGGGTAGCTGTTTGAATACAGCTCATCACATTTCTTTAGTATATACAGTCAAAATGGTTGCACCAAATTAAACTCCCACCAGCACAGTATCAGAGTCCTAGTTCTAGGACACCTGGCTTAGTCAGACTTTCCCATTTGAACCATAATTTTCACACTCCTAAGTAATATATTAATCAAGTTTTAGCCTGAACTTTAGAACAACAAAAAAACTTTCACTGGAGATTAAAGTGAAACTTATTGTACAGAAAATTTAATCAAAGAGCATTTTCCTTTGAATGCATATTGAAGCAATTGTTCTAGCTGGTATATGTGATGACTGTGATTTCGTAAAAATATCCGATTTCTACAAAAGATTTTTAGAAGAAAAATTAAGACATACCTGAAGGAGTCAAATGACTTTAAAAAGCACGTTGGGAGTATCAAAGACCAGGTGAAATACAGCACAATACAGTTCATGTTTGTGATGTAAATGCTGATGGCAACTCCTGAACCCAGTATGCTAGTGAAATAGTTTTCATACTTTATGAACAGTGCTAGTTAATAGGCTTCGCTACTGTTGTCAACCTCCAGGATTTAATCAGGAGAGAGGATAATGTGCTATAACAAAAAGCCATTCTACAGCCCTTATATTCTTTCCGCACTCACGATTACCTCCCCACTGTCACCTCTCTAATTTTTCTCAAAATACACATTTCCAACACAAATGCATTCAAATTTGCCTTCTGCCCTTATGTTTTACTTAAATTAGGCTTGCTGAAGGCAAAGACCCCCTCCCAACTACCAAAGCCAATACAATAGGCACTTAATTTCCTGATCCTTCTGACTCACGTCATTCCCGAACAGACTTTTGTCATCAAAACTCTCCGGTCCTAACTCTGGATCTCACTGTCTCCTCTGAGTCCTCATTTATCCTCAAATCTCTCCCATGGCCTCCTTGGTCGTCTCCACACACCACTTAAAAGGTTCCTGTCCCCATCTTGGTCTCTTACTCTGTACTTTTGGGTGTTTTCCTGCACCCTTACGGGGTGAACTGCCACACACGCACCGTCGCTTTCCATACTTAAGAGTCTGACTTAGGAAAAACCCGATATGGATCAATCTAACTGCCAACTAGGCAGCAATGCAGCTCGGATGGCCGAGCAGAATCGTAACCTCATTTTCTTCCAAACTGAATGAACCTCTCAATGAGATCTATTCACGGTAATTCAAGTGAAGTCAAATTCAAGACCTATTTTAACTTTTTTCTTTAAGAATAAAGTTTGATTACCTTTTCGCCCTCAGTTATGAAGGTAAAATATCCACTAGCAGCTCCCCGCCCCCAAATACAAAGATGGCAAAAAAATAAATCTCAGGGGCAAGCAATATTAACATTTCCTTCTAGTAAAAGTTTTCGCCAAGATGAAGTTGCATGGTAAAATCTTCAGCAGGCAAAAATTCTGGGAGAAGCCAAATATACTCGTTACAAAAGCCAATTCTTTTACTCGCTTCGTTTTAAATTTTCTCAAGAAATCATGCGTGGCTCGGCGTCTGCCCGACGTTATGAGGTGAACACCCCCAGTTCTGGTCTACCTCCCTATGGCGAAGGAAAGTCGTTGCAGGAAGAGACAAGGCGGAGCAGGTGGAATCTGGCCTGGCGAAGGGCCAGGTGGACTGCGCTTTGCAGAAAGTTCAGGAAGACCTCGTCCAGCTGCTCCCGCCTCCTCTTCCCGCCAAACCCGAGCGCACAGTCCCCGCGCGGCTGCAGCCCCGCAGCCCACTACGCCCGCCCACCTCGGAGCGCCCAAGCCTCGCTCAGGTCTCAGCGCCGCAGGAGACTCGGGGAGCGCCCGGGGACCCAGGTCACCGCGACACTCGACGGAGGCTCCGCGGGGACAGGCCCGCTCTCCCCAACGCCCCGCAGCCGCCCAGAACCCGGACAGGAGGAGGAAGCGCACCTGATGGGCGCCGGAGGTCCAGCGGTCCTCCGCACGTCTCCTCACGTGCTGAGGCGGTGCCGAACGGTCCGGGTTCGCTACCTGTGGCCGGGACCGGCGCTCTGCCTCAGCGGGGGCCGGGGGCGAGGACTCCCCGCACCTCGCGTGGCCACGCCCCCTCGCCCCGCCCCTAGCGCCTCATCCCCTCCCCCCCTCAGGGCCGCCCGGGCCCCGCCCCTTCGCCTCAGGTTTCCCCGCCTCCCGGCACAGTCCCGCCCCTTCTAGGGTCTGCCCCGCCCCTCCTGCGGTCTGTCCCGCCCATTCTCAAAGCCCCATGGTCCACTCGGTGCCTCGAGGACCGCCCACTTCCCTTCAATTACTTGTTCCACCCCTCAGGATTCCCCGCCTTCCAATATAGCCCCGCCCCTTCCCAGGTTCGCCCCGCCCCTCCCGCCCCTTGGTGAGGTCCTCGCGGAGGGGCGGGGTCCATGGAGCCCGGCCAGCACCTACCTGCACTGTAGTGCTCCTGCGCCCTCTCCTCTGCTCCAAGTTTCTTGCTGTTGCTCACTCTACAAAGATCAAATGGAGCAGGGCCTGAGGTGTGCTGAGGGGTAAAGAGGGAAAGCTCTAGGCGTGATGAACTTGTCGGAATTGGGCACAGAGAATTAGTCTTTCCTGCTTAGAGGTGGTTCTGTACCCTTTTCTTCAATGGGAAGTGTTGTCGCTTGGCTGTTAATGTTGTTACAAAAAGTCTAGTTATAAAGTCTTTCAGATTCAGCCCAAGTCTCGTTACTTTCGTTGCTCTACTGCTCTCCCATCAGGGAATGTTCTGGAAGAAATAGTAAAAGTATCCACTACCACACTCAGTTCTATGCAGGAACCACCTCTAACTGGCAGTTTGGCTAGTGCTTTACATTTTTACCTCTCTTGATGAATGTCTCAATGCTTGGGTGATTGTTACCTGAAGTTCTAGATCATCTGATGAGACTGATGGATACTGAAGATAAATACTTAACCTTTTTCGAAGTCAGTTCTGCCAACCTCAAGACTCTAGAGATGATGGGATAGGGGAGGCCAGGTTGTTGAAGGTAGATCCAAAGATTCCTCTCTATGGGGAAAGATATACAGCATAGTTTTTTCCTTGATTTTCCCCCATGCACATCAGCATCTTACAGTCCTAAGAACCATGTATTACTTTTTTTTTCCTTTTTTTGTCTTTTTGAGACAGGGTCTCCCTGTAGCCCCAACTGTCCTGGAACTCACTATGTAGACCAGGCTGGCCTCGAACTCAAGAAGATCCGCCTACCTCTGCCTCCCAAGTACTGGGATTAAAGGCATGCACCACCATGCCCGGCCCAGAACCATGTATTACTTTATTTTTCCATGTATTACTTAAATTTTCCAAATTTGCCCCCAGAACTCTCTTCTTGAGAAATGCTTATTACCATCTTTGAACATTAATATTTGACCCAAGACACTTTGTTCAACACTGTGGGGAATTCCTAGTACATTTACCTTCAATAATTTGCCACCAATATTTGTGAAGTTCTATATTGTTTACACAAAGCTTTCACATGAGCCTTATTTAATTGTGGTAATTGTGATGTAGCTGACTTTACCTTCATTTTTACAGTTAAAATTACTGGTCAGCCAGTCACTGGTTGCCCAAGTACAGATAGTAAATTTTGGATATGAACTTTGTGTATGTATTTGTGTGTATACATATATATATACATATATATTTTGATCCTTAAATAGAGCATATCCTTGGTTAGAAACTTCTAGATCTACCAATTGAAACTTATCAAGGACAAGACCTTATCTTTACCTGTGCTTTACTTTCCTGCAACAATTGCTATGATACAGGGCACAAAAGTGTTGTTCAAATGTGCTGAGCGCATGCATGAATGTTCAACAACCAGCAATTGAACTGGACTGAGTAGACAGTTCCCTAACTAAACAGTTTGAACCTTCACTGAGGCAGAGGTTCCAAGAGCAGGAACTCCCGGAATTGTTCCTGTTTTTTGTTTTTTGTTTTTTTCCACATGCCCCATGAAAAAAAAAAAAAAAAAACTTCCTTAGAAGAATCTATTCTGTGAGTAGATAGAATTCTTGCATAACCATGAAATCATTTTCCTTGTTTTCTTTCAGATGGGCCTCTTTCCTTTACCACTCTCAATGGCAAGGCTATGCTAAGATGAATGGAAGTTATTGTACCTCTGTTTGGGTTCTTGTATTTAAGCTCTTCCCATAAAAAGCTTGTGATTGTAACATTGAGCAAAATTTTTTGTTTGCTTTCTTAATGTTGCCAATTAGTTATTATTTGAAGCAGATCTTAGAAGAAAAATAGATCTGGGTGGATGTAGATCCACAACTTTTGTTTATATTTTATCATGCGTCAATTCTTTATTCAATGGAGGCAAATCACATAATCCCACTGGAGCGGGAGTTACGGGTGGTTGTGAGCTGCCTGAAATGGGTGCTGAGAACCAAACTCAGGTCCTCTACAAGAGCTGTCTACACCCTTAACTGATGAGCCATCTCTCTAGGCCCCTACTCCACTTTCTTTCTTCCCATTCCTTGATAACCTTGCAACATTACTGAATCATGCTAATCCTCACAATGTACTCAATTAGATAGAAAAATATTATGTCCTAGATTGACTTCAACAGGCCAACATGCAGAGAACAAGAGGCTGCAGAGCACTTATCCCTAAATATGACATCTATAATCAAACTTCTGCACCTCAAGGCTCAGGGATCATTGTGAAAGAGGGGGTAGAAAGATTGCAAGAGCCAGAGGTGGTAGATGACCACAAGGAAACAGAGTTTTCCAGACAACTGGTCAGTTACTCATGAATTCACAGCAACAGTGACAGCATGCACAAGTCCCATGTAAGCTCAAACCAGCAAAAGAGTCCCAACATACACATGAGAATGTGAGTAACCAACCCGACTTAAGGAAATATGTCAACAGATGGTGGTTGGAAGGGACAGAGACAGTCTCTTTCAAGCATCTGACTCTTGGTAGATTAACCAGGCTCCAGTGAATGGACCCACACTAAAGGACATTTTGGACATCAATTAAACATATATATATTAGAGCACATTAAATTGAGCAAGGGGCAATAGGGGAAGGTGTGGATAGGATCTAAATTCAAATTATATTGTTTAAAAAGTGGAAAAATTCAATGAAAAAAATTAAGAGGCATGCCTTGAAAGGTCTTGAATATTTTATTAAATATTTATTTAATAAGTTTATTTATTTCACGTGTGTGAGTGTTTTGCCTGCATGTATGTAAGTGCACCATGTGTGTACAATGCCCATGGAGGTCAGAAGAGGGCATCAAATCCCCTAGAACTGGAGTTACAGATAGTTTTTAGCTGCCATGTGGGTGCTGGGAATCAAACCCAACTGCCTAGATCTTTTAAATGTTTTTAACTGCTCAGCCATCTATCCAGCCCCTTATTAAGTATTATTAATCAATAGGACACAGAATTGTAAATGAGGAACTATTTGTAGTGACATTTTTCTTTCCTTCCTATCATCTTTACTGTTCCCAGCCCACACTGAACTAAGGTAACAAGGGGGAAATGGATAGTCACAATTGTTCCTCCAAGAGACCTAATCATGATAGAGCCTCTTTTCTCAAATGTCACAATCACCCAAATTCCACAAATCAATGAAAATTTATAGCACTAGGAGGCTAACAATTTCACTGGAGACCTACTCAAAAAAGATTTAGCATCTAAAATGAGATGAAATTATACCAACAGGATCAATACAAGGCTGTGAAGGAGAGAATGATGAAAGCGGGTCTGGAATAAAAGAGGGCTCCCTGCCAGTGTCACGATCACCTTGTGGGGCTGAGGAACTGGTCCAAAGAGGGTAGAACCCACAGAACAGGTCACATGAAACCACCCAGAATTCCAGAACAAAGGCCCCCAGTCCCACTGATTACAGCAGAGAAAATGCTAAGTCCCTACTTGAGGTAAACTGTGTGAATTAGGAGAAAATACTCAACCCACATTTCATCCTCCTAGACTCCATGTGGACTTCCCTAAGCTGAACTTATATTCCCTAAAACAACTTTCTTGTGTTTCTAAGTTAAATTGACCAAAAAGAGGAATTGGGGAAAGACTTGGAAGGTAGAAGTGAAACAGAGCTGTAATCTCTGCCAACCAGTATGTTTACACAGTAGAAGGCAGACACAAAAGTGCTGGCAGGTTCTATCTTGATCACCATGTCTGACCCTGTTGACCACCAGAGAACCCAGGCCTGCCTGCTAAGCTTGATGGCAGCTCCTTAGAAGTGATAGCTACCCATAGACTTCTCCACAGCTCCATTTGGGGTACCACTCCAGCATTTAGGTATGTCTGGCCCTCTAAATTCATTACAAGTTCTGACTTATCAAGTTCACCTGCACCAGGGCATCAGGAAGGCTGTCTAGTGACTTATCTCTTGTAGCTCAATCCTTCTTCCTGACCTTACATGACCAATTTACCCTGCAGTGCTGTTAGATATTATTCATAGGGCTAGAGGGTGGCTCAGCTGGTAAAGGCTTGTGCTACCAAGCCTAATGGCCTGAGTTCGCTCACCAGGCACCACGTGGTAGAAAGAGAAAACCAGTTCCACAGGTTGCCCACTAATCTCCACACGAGTGTTGTATGTGCATGTTCATGGTCACACACAAATAAATGTAATTTTTAAAAGAGATTCATGCATCAATAATATTCTAGTGGCTCTGCTTCCATGATGAACCCCTGTGAAACACTGTACACATTTGGATGCTCGACTTGAAAATTATGTAGCTTCTATCAACCTTCCTCCAGTTATTAAAAACAAACTTCTGGGATTATTTTAGGAACTGTAGAATGTGGGTTAAAAAAATCATACCATGGTAGTATTCCTAAAAGAGGGTGGTTGGCTATACACTGCCTTAAATTGGGAGCTCATCATAGAAGAACAGACTTTCAGCTTTTCAAACTGAGAAAGTTGGTATCTTTCCCCTGTATCAGACTAACTATATCTCTGTCTTGAAGAAGGCTTTGTGAGGCTTACTCAGAGTAGATGATAGTGTGTTTGTCCGTTAATATGGATGAGGAATGGAATTGTGGCAACGCCTGAATATTTGCATCTTGTAGCCCAAACATTAT